ATTTGTTCTTTATGAGAGGCAGAAGCACCTGGGAAATAGCCTGAGTGGTAGCGAATACTAACAGCACCCGTTGGCAAGGTTGTCGATGACTCGCTCTTTACAAAGTTGCTTACAAGCAAGCTAATAGCCTAGGATGTGCCATTAACAATTTTTCACTGGGTCGGCTGAACGATCGTGGAGGGATTGGTCTTCTCACCGTATAATAACAGTGCTATTTTCCACTGTGCTGTGCTTGCTATAAACAATTTTGTTTTCCAAGGGGTAATGCATTTTAAAAGCTCGGTGAATAAAAATGTGTATTTGGATATTACAAATAGGGGATGTAAATCGGTCATGATCCCAATTAGTTAATCCTCTGCTCTTCATACCTATCCTTCGTAAACATTTTGAAGTGTTTTTTAGACGTCTGTGCTAGACGCCTCGCAGGGTTGTTGCCAACTTATAAAAGCGGCAGATAGGGTATAATAGATAACTCCACTGCAAGAAGCAACGAACGGCGGTTTCCTCTGACGGGCAGTACAAAAAGTCCAAGAAGGAAAACAAAGGTACAACTGGGGTTTGTCTCGACGACTGAAGCGGCAGTAGCAGATTCGGCTATTCGACGATACGACCGCGGCACAGTGCTGGGACAAGCGATCTTCCTTTATCAACAGGAAGTGGATGTACTCACACTAACCTCAAGGTGACCAAAAAGACTCTGGGCAGCAGATTCTTGAGGGGTAAGTGAAAGCGCTGAAACATAACATAAGACGGTCGGGACTCAAAGGGGCTCAAGCATCTCATGCTGGTCGTGCTATTACTTTGTCTCGTAAGGTGTGTTATCTCGGGCTGTCTACTTTAGCACAAATCGTCATGACTCACTCACGCTCAAGTATAACATTATTCAAAAACCTAATTCTATCCCACCTCATTCTGTTATACTACGTTATATTATAAAAATTTGCTTTGCTTGTGCAAAATGGGTGCGAGTTCTGAGAACGATTAAGCTTAAACGTTAAATTAGCCGCGATGAAATTATTGAAAAAACTGTGGAAAATAGATGCAACCGTTTCGCCTCAGTTAGATCATTTGAAATATTTGAGAAATTGCATAACTTGTGCTGCAAAATAAAAATTGAAGCGCTGATGATGCCAAACGCCGAACGGCAACAGCAGTGGCGCCGATAAGCGAGAGCATCTCGGCAGTGGACATCCGACAGCTCGAAGCCCTCACCAACGGCGCTCAATCGCCGATCAAAAAAATCTCAGCATTCCCGGATCCTCCTCCTAGTTTCATTCTCAGTAAGTTGGATGCATTTTACTTTTCGTTCTCAGTGTTCAGAATCCACGACGCTTTTCATTATAACAGCATCGCAAACTCTAATATCCCAATTATAGCAGCCACCAGCCTAGTAGGCTGACGACGCTTTTCTCTCTCGAGCATTTCTTGAAAAGCAAATTTTAAAACAACATTTTAAAACATGTGTCAATATTTTCGTTTTCTGAGAATTCCAAAATTCAAGTTAGTTTTTCCCGCTAACTGTTGTAGATCGCTGGTTGAAGCGTGAGAACGGCATGATATCTGCAGAAAGTTAAC